CCCTTTAATGTTTTCTCTACTTTTGGAGTCTCACACTATCTTCAATATATGAATTGTACAATGCATCTATTCCAAAGTGTCTAAAAATACTCGAGATGTCGCCATGAATGAATAATTAGCAAATAAAGTGCATGGTGTGCAGTGGTCTGTGTTAGGCCACCTTAGTGTGACACTAAGCCAGCTTTACCCAACCATCAGTGTAAATCTTGGTCGAGTCGAAGAAAGGGTGTTAAAGAAGAAAGGGTGTTAAAGAAGAAAGGGTGTTAAAGAAAGGCTAGGGTACTCAATAATGATCTATTTTTGTCCCGACTGCTTTTTGCACTGTTAAGGACAAAGTCATGTCGGCTATGTAGCTACGTAGGTCATGTCAATGACATACAGATATAAAAACATTTTATATAATCCCTGTTACGAATTGGCGGAACATAGTATGAACTTTTAGCATTTTATAATAACGTTTAACAAACTAAATCACAGCGGAGTGGTAATTTTCTCCGCCTACTAAGCCCCAGTACGACCTTTAATTGCAATTTTCCCAAACACTGTAATTCATTTCCGCAGTCAGATTTTTTTTATAATATACATCACAAGATTGACTGATAGCTTGATTCTCGTTATGAAAAGTAGAACGTGCGTCACAAACCTATTCCCAGAACAATGAGATTAATGTTGTCGTACGTGGGTTGTCGAAATAACTCAAGTTGGAATATGTTTGAATTATTCTTACTGCGTCACAAATATGCACCTGGGTGAAAACTCTTCATGCATTTGCCTCAAAACATTAACCGCATCAATGTAGTGTACGCTGTGCCATTAGTATTCTGCAAAGGTTGGGTACAAATGTTTTTCGCAATCTGAAGTGCGTCGAACGTGTATTAAAAGCCAGGACAATCTTTAGTACTTATCTGTCTCCGCCAAGGGTAGTGTAAAATCTCTAAAGTTGACAAAGACCGTCGCAATGGTCCGCGAAACATCGGCACATCAATGCATTACCTTGTACCTCGATATTTACGACTGTAAAGTTATGCCCCAAAGGAATGCATTATAGCAGACTGCTAGAAGCTTACTGTATTACCATGGGGGTTTTGTGGTCTCCTGGTTGGCGTCACGGACAAACCAAATGCGACCCGGACTCCTGTATTTGATTCATGGCATGTTCAGGGATAGACTTAGTATTCAGGCCTGCTGCAGAATCCGGGTACTGCGCCCTGGTAGGGACAGGAAGACTAAATGGAGGTAGATGATTGCGTGCCGTTCCGAGGATTGTAACTTATCTTGTCTCACTTTGTCTTTCACAAGGACATGCGTTCTGCTCTGATGCCCTTAAGTTGAACCAAAGACCCTCGTTATTTATAGCTGCAAGGCAGTAGAAGTGCTTCAAAGCAAAAGGCTTTGGTTAACAATTGATCCAGATATACCGTAAACAAGAAGCTTGCCGTGAATGACATCGTTTTTGAAGTGCTACTGTTGCTTTCAATAGTATAGCTATGTTCCTACATTGTCTTATTCTTTGCTTTTGCTACGTCGTCTGTGTCCTTGTTGATGTCATGAATAAATCGTCGGTCTACAGGCAAATACATTTACAACGCTGCCCAAACAATAAGTGATTTTTGGTCGTATATAAGCTAAAGCATTACACGGACAAGGCGTATGTAAGACCGTATAATCTACCAAACTTTACTAGGCTCTTAGGCAGATAACCTCACTACCCCGAACATCATACTTTTTAACGTTGAAGACTTTATTGCAACGTTCGTGGTAAAATGGTCATAAAATGCTAACTTCCAGCAAAACTTTACTGCAGTAGCTAGCGGAACATGAGGGACATAAATTATACCGGAAGAACTTTCGCGAACGTAGATTGCAAATTGGGGCAATATGCTTCGCTCGAGGGAGTACGCTTATTTAGTTATTATCATGGCAAATTACAATTCCAGAATCATATTGCAGTAGACACATAATTGGATTGCCTAAATTACCACCAGCAGCAGTCATTTCTTATTCGACGCAAAATTGGCGCAAAGTGCATTTCACATATTCAGCAATTTTATCACAAATTGAGATTTTAAGACCACGTCCTTTTTGATGCAGCCGTATTATTGGCACCATATTTTCCAACAGGTTTAGGCTGTCAAATCTGTACGTGCGTTTCAACGGGGATCGAACAATGAACTCCGTTCATGGTGCATCACAGGCCACGTCTGTAAATGGAGTTTGATGTGAACATCATTGAATTTGGTCCATTCCGTAAATATGGGTCGTCGAGGGCTAGACGTAGATTGAGGCGATGGGCCTTATCATTAGTGCT